TTTGGGTTTTTTATATATTCTGAAAACAAGTCCTTTATGAAATATATGTTTGCTAATATTTTCTCCAAGTAGAGGAGAAAAGTTAAGATGCAGGCAAATATCTGACTTCGGGGGTGATAAAAGGACCCAAACCTAGGTAGTAAAATCTAGTTAGTCTCTAGCTTTAAAAAACAATAAACTTCCTGCCCAGCCAGTGTGCTTCAGTGGTTGACTGTGGACATATGAACCAGAAGGTCACAGTTAGATTCCCAGTCGGGCCGTGCCCATGTTTCAGGTTCGATCCCCAGTAGGGGGCATGCAGGAGACAGCCAATCAGTGATTCTCTCTCATCATTGATGTTTCTATCTCTCCCTCTCCCTTCCTCTCTGAAATCAATAAAAATATGTAAATAAATAAACAATAAACCCCCTGTGTGTGTCAGAAAGTATAAAGTATATGTGTGTCAGAAAGTATAAAGTATATTCAAGCTTATGCTATATACAGGATAAGCCCTTTGATGTCTTTTATATATGTAGTACATCAAAACCTTTTGCACAGAATAAAATGGTTTGTTTGTGCTTCCAAGCCATAATAGAAGAACAAGTTTGTTAGATAGGTAAATTTTATAAATAATAGGCATTCCTTTCCTAAACAAACTTGTTGCAGAGCTGCTAAATGAGCAACATTTTTTTTAATTTAAGCTCTTATATATCAGAGCTTCCTAATGAAAATATATACAAAATTTACTTCACATACCACACTTACTCTTGGGTAGATGTTAGGCACATATGGAACTGCCCAAAAGATAGACTATCAGTTACAGGAGCAAAGATCAAGAAAGTGCTGAAGACAGGTCCAGACTAAATGGTCTGCTTTTAATTCAGAGTTGCTTATTATATTTGATGGTGAAGGTGGAAAATGAGGGGAATCATCAAATATTTTTTAAGTAACTAAATGACATGATAAAAAGTTGAGAAATAAAATAGGTTTTAATGTGAAGCATTTGAAGTAGTGGTGAAACCAATTAAAAGATAAGGGACTGAATTAGGACCAAAGAGGAAGCAAGATATTAAAAATATCCAGAGGTGTAACTGACAGGACTTGGTGATCAAAATAAATGTAGGTCTTAAAAAGAAAAACCTTAAGATTACTCTGTTTTTCTGTTTCAGTGGCCTACTTGGTTATACATTTAATCAAGACAAAACATTAAAAAGGAGAAGCAGGTTCTGAAGAAATTAGAGGTCAGTTTTGGTAGTTGAGTTTGAAGGGCAAGCAAGACTCCACAAATGGATATTAGTGAGTACCTAGAAATGTTACTGGGACTCAGGTGAGGTGTCTGAGCCTGAGAAAGAGAATTGAACATGATAATAGTGTAATTTATTTAAAGATGTGATAAGATATTTTAGCATAACCATGAATTCTAAAAATATATATAAGTTAAGGGTCAAGTACTGCTTAGTGACAGGAAAGAAATAATGTTTAGAGAGAGGAAAGATTTTCTCATCTTGAATGTCAAAGATGAGGAGAGTTTGAAGGGACAGTGAGTGGTAATTAGTGTCCACTGCTAAAAAGAAGCTTTGGGATTTGATGACTAAAAATTATTGGGCAAAACTAGAAACAGTCCAAATGTTCATCAGCAAGAGAATAGGTAAACCAATTGTATATCTTCATACCATGGCATACTACTGAGCAACTAAAAAGGATGATTACTGTTATACTGAACAACATGGATTAATCTCAAAAACATTATACTGAAGAGAAAAAAAGCCAGACACAAATAGAACACACTGTGAAATTCATTTATATGATGACCAAGAATTGGCAAAACCAAATCTATGGTTAATAGAAATCAGAAACAGGATACTCTGGGGATGCTGGGAGGGGGTGTGGTGGTGGTGAGAATTGACAGTAAAGGAGCACAAGATAATTTTCTGATGTAAAGAAATATTCTTACCTTGTTTGAGGATAGTTACAATTGCCAAAACTTACTGACTTGAAAACTTAAGATCTATTCATAACGAGAATACTAAATTAAGTCATTTGTCAAAGATGGGAGATTGAACATCTGAATTTGCTTGCTTTTAAATTCCCGCTAATTTATGGAGACATTCATTTACAAAAGCAATTGTTAATACAGAAAGATCACAAGAATAAAATTTTCAAAGGAGAAAAACAGAAATATGAAATGGAGTACCAGTAAGCCCAAGAAAAAAAATTTACATGGTCAGTGAAAGAAGTCATAAAATAGATCAGTTTGTACTTCAGAGTTGTAAAATGTTCAAAAATGGGAAATGAGATTGAATGTGGGCTAAAAATAAAAGTGTTGTTTAAAAGTGTTATTTAAAGTAGATATATTTCCCAAATCTATATTTGGGTGACTACTCCCCCGCCATCAAGGTTATATGTTTATTCGCTGGAGAGGCTGAAACAGAAGTTCCCTAGACTAGAGGACATCAGGCATCATTGAAGGTGGGATCTCTTTCAAAAACAAGGGCTTAAGTGATAGTCTATCTACATTCTAAATATTGAAATTACCAGGCCTCTTTTGTAACTCAGCTTCAGAGTATTGGACAAGTTAAAAAGAATCTGAGTTCTGAGAAATTTGATTAGTCCATGATCTGAAAACAAACAAACAACATTAACAACAAAAAACTCCTGCAAATTCAAACTAGAACAGGTCAGAAGGCTCTGAGAGAGCTGTCTCCAGGGAAATTAAATTAATAGACTACCTGTTATGTTTTAACACACTTAGAGATTTAGATAATTGGGAGATTTGAGTTTGAATTTAGGGATAAGTACATAGAAAACTATGAAAACAAGTAAACAAATGATTATTACCTCCTGGGAGAGTGAAAAGTTGAGACTGAAAGAAAAAATAATCAGAGTACGATATACATATGAAAAGCATTTACATGGCCATAATAAACACTGAGTATTGATTTAGCAAAAATTATGAAATTGTGACATAACTATAGTTAAAAGAGATACAGTAAAGGGTGTGAATGTATGGAGAGGTGAGCAGGCAGAATAGGTAGTAATAAAATAAATCCTCCTCTTTCATAGAAAAAAATGAATAGATAATGACTTAAACTGAAAAATCAAAAGTAACAATATAAGCATGTTGTTGAGGTAAACACTGAAAGAAACAGTTTTAAAAGTTGTCTCCAAAGAGTGGTACATGAAAAATGACATGAAAGTTAATGTTTGACTCTTTAAACCATATGCATTCAATAACTATGATTTTCAAAAAAGTAACCAAATAAAGCAAGATAATAAAGGTATTTGTAAAGAGAATTTTATGAAATTAGATTGCAGTGGGTTGAACTGAATGAAAATTGAGACTGTTCTCAGGAAACTGAATAGGATAAGGAGGGGTAATTAGTATAGCTGCTTGATTAAAAGACAAGATTAATGAAAAACTGACGGTTTCCTTGATGATGGTTATTTACATAGCTAACAAATTGGTTAGTCAGTTTGCTCAAAACAGGGATGAGCTTAAAGAGAAGAAAAGCAGTGAGAAGAGTTTGCTGAGGTAAGAGGGAATAAATGAAGTATTGTTTCAAAGTCCCATATGAAGTGGTGGATGTTGAAATCAAAATCAAGGTTAAAGGATTAGCTTTGAAAAATAATAGGGCCTTGGCCAGTGTTCTCAGTGGTTAGAGCACTGGCCATACACCTAAGGGTCATGGGTTTGATTCCTGGTCAAGGGCACATACATGGGTTGCAGGTTCAATCTCTGGCATCAGTCTTGGGAGGTCTCTCTCTCTCTCTCTCTCTCTCTCTCTCTCTCTCTCTCTCTCTCTTTCTCTCTCCCCTCTCTCCTTCCCCCTCTTCCACTCTGTCTAAAAATCAATGGGAAAAATATCCTTGAGTGAGGATTACCAACAACAAAAAATAGGAACATCTTTTTTTTTTTTATGGTGAAGGAAAGGATTATTAGAAGAATTTATGTCAAATAGCTTATATTAAGCTGTATTTTCTCATTGGCAGTGGTAGCTAAGTCATCTGTTGAGAAACTGGCATCGTTTTTATGATCAGAGATTGGGAGCCAACCAGAGAAAAAAATACAAAGAATGCTGGGTAGCAATTTTGGGAACCCAGCTGAGGATAAATGTATGTATTAGCACATGTTACCATAACAAAACACCACAGACGGGGTGTCTTAAACAGTAGATATTTATTTTCTCACAGTTTTGGAAGCTGGAAAATCTACAACGGAGGCACCAGCAGGGTTTGGTTCCTGATAAGGACTCTCTCTTCCTGGCTCACAGACATACATATGGTTTAAAGAGTCAAACATTAACTTACATGTCATTTTTCATGTACCACTCTTTGGAGACAACTTTTAAAACTGTTTCTTCTCATTGTGTCCTCACATGGTAGAGTGAGTGAGAGAGAGAGAGCTCTCTGGTGTCTCTTCCTATAAGAACAATAATTTTACTGGATCAGGGTTACACCCTATGACCTCATTTAACTTTAATTACTTCTTACTGCAAAAACAGTCACACTGGAGGTTAGGGCTTCAACATATGTGTTTGAGGGGGACACAGTTCACTCCATAGCATGTATAATTTAGCACTGTAGTTTGAGTTATTTTTTCATTTATATCCAGAAGCCCAAGAGCAAGAGAGAAAACAGACAGTTGAGTCGATCCAAATCTGAGGATTAGCATGATAAAAGATCAAGGTGGCAAACAAATTGAAGAGCTGGTGAAAGTATGGCTAAGATGAGTATGGGTTCCAAGCACAGCCGAAAGACAAGCAGGGAAAGGACCAGGTTTACATTAGGGAGGGGGAGGGGCAGAGATTGATAGTCTTTATGGCAGAGTCCTCTCAGGTCTGGAGGCTGGAGAGCAAATGGGACTCTTGTGTAGCAAAGTTTCAGCTGGTTCAGTACTTCCTGGGACATAATGGATGTTTCTTCACTTTCAACTTCACTGACAATGAATGAGAATTAACAAACTGGAGAGAAAATTTAGGTTCATTAGTGGTAGCAATCATCACATTTTTCTTTCTTTTTAGACGATTAAATACATTGAACAAGTGTGCCTCAATGAAACTTGATGTGAACTTCCAAAGGAAAAAGGTAGGTGTCTACATCTTACTAAGACCATAGCTATACCAACAGAAGAGTCTCGAATTCATAGATTAAAAACTACATGAACCTAAGCAAAATTATGAAAGGCCTGACCATCTACGTTTATTCTCTAAATATCCCATCTTATCATAATCATTGAAGGTTAAGTAAGTCTATTATAAACCTAGGCCAAGGTCTTTTTGTTTCATCATCTTATTTTGCTTTAGTTTTTATCAGAGGTTTGGATTAAGAAGTAAAAGGTCTTAATTCTTTATGGTAATTTTTCAGAAGTTTGTCAAGGTGCAAATAATCCACTCCATATGAGAGTCAAATACTCCACAGGTATTAGTAGATGAAAAGAATGCAGAAAAGTGTCTGTGGGTCCATATCAAATGTTTCTACTTTGTTCATTCCCAAGGCATTTTATTTCAGGTACATTTCCAGATGCATTCATTCTTAGGCAGGTTCACCATAGACCAGTGATGGCAAACCTATGACACGCGTGTCAGAGGTGACACGCGAACTCATTTTTTTGGTTGATTTTTCTTTGTTAAATGGCATTTAAATATATAAAATAAATTTCAAAAATATAAGTCTTTGTTTTACTCTGGTTGCAAATATCAAAAAATTTCTATATATGACACAGCACCAGAGTTAAGTTAGGGTTTTTCAAAATGCTGACACACCGAGCTCAAAAGGTTCACCATCATTGCCATAGACTATCTCATTTAATTCATTGCAGTTTTGATTCTCTGTTTCCTAGATAAAGAAAGTAAAACTTGAATAGGTTAAGTCATTCATCCACATTCTTTTTTTAACTAGTGGCAAGAGCAGGGTTTCAACCTCAGGCATGTCTAACTCCAAAACTGAGGCTCCTAACCACTGTGCTAAAATATTTTTCTTTCTCACTGAATTGATTCTTTTAGGAAATTCAGAGTTCAGATGGTTGACTGCTTATTTTTTCATTTCACACCCACAACATGTAACAATCAAATTTCAGTATATTTTGAAAAAGCAGGGAAAATATCTTAGAGTCAAAAGAAAGTGTTCTTTATCCTGGTCTTCACAAGGAAATCATTAAACCTAATGGATTTTAAGTTACTCCTGAGTACCTTAATGTTTAAACATAACTTTAATTTGAATTTCTGCTCTAAAATAGCACCAAAAAAAAAAAAATGGCAAATGAATTTTGGTTGACCTCATCTTAAAAACAATTTGGAGTTTGAGCTATAAATCAAAGATTTAAGTTAGAGAGATAAAATGGTGAAAAACAATATCTAGAGAAATATTAAAGCATGAACAATTTGTCCAGACTAAAGACAAATTTTAAATGTGGGAATCAGCGTCCCAACAACTGTCTGGCTGAATAGAGCCCTGAGAAGCATACATGCTATTTGAAACATGAGGGTCAGATCTTTTGATTGTAACAAGAACACATGGTTCTCATTAAACTGAACACAGCCACACCTGAGTGTCTAAAGTGTGGCTAGCCTATCTGGCTGCCTCTACAGATCTTCAGCTGAAGTGTTTACAAAGGAAAGTGCCCCAAACTAATGACATGATTTGTTTTCAACCAAGTGAAGTAATTATATTCTCACTCTATCACCAGCCTTTCCAAACCCATATTTCAGATAGGCTTGACTAACATTTGTTAGACTATTTATGTGTTACCTTCACAAAAGCTCCTCTGTAAATTGGTCACTTCAGAATTCTGACATCTGTAATGTATTCCTTGTGTTGGATAAACTGACACACCCCCTCATAGCTCCTGCTTAGCTATAGGCCTCACCAATGCATGCACTTGAATATTGTAAATTGGGCAGTTATACCCTGAATTTTAAAATAAATAATTCCAACCTGTGGTCTTCACCTACTTGTGAATCTCAGGAATGATCAGAATCTGGGGCTGTGGTCTGAGCAACTATGTGGGAGACCCTGTGCAGTGGAACATGTTCGCATGATATGCCCCTTACACAAGTCATAGGCTAGTTCTTCATTTTACTGCAAAAAATAAAAAATAAATAAATACAGAACAGGAATAGGCCAAATGATCAAAATTAGAAAGTTAAACTTGAGACCCGAACACCATGTGAAGCTTCAATCCACTTTGGAATTAGTTTATTTGGAAGAAAACCAAGCCACATTTCCTCTGGCTATGTACCCATTTTAAGCAATCCATAAAATAAAAATATAATTCACATCTCTAATCTGCAGAGACCCAGACCCATAATTCTGCAGAATGTCATCCCCAAATGGCCTATTTGAGCCACAATTATTCTCCTCTCTTTGGGGCTACTGGGCCTATGAAAGGGCTCTATGTGCTTGCTCAGTGGTTTGAGTTGGGAGTACTCACACATGCCTATTGTGTCCTAGGCACTGTCCTCATTATTAAGCCCATGTAACAGATATGGAAATTAAAGGGCAGAAAGGTAAGAACTTGCTGAAAGCCACTCACAATTAGCAAAGTTGGGATTTGAACCCCTCCTTGCCTTTCAAAGATCAGTGTCTTGGAATATCTTGGAGCCTGAATGAGTGGCCCTTGGCCAGAGACCTGGAAGCGTTTCCTCAGCAAAATATAGTTATGTATTTTTATTGTTGTTTTTAGAAGAGAGATGTTTCTTGCCATATGTACTGAAGTCCATGACTTATTTTTTTTAATTAAATCTTTATTGTTCAGATTATTACAGTTGTTCTTTTTTTCCCCCATAGCTCGCCTCCACCCACTTCGCACCCCACCATCTGCCCTTACCCCCTCGCCACTGTCCTCATCCATAGGTGTACGATTTTTTTCCAGTCTCTTCCTGCACCCCCCACACCCCTTTCCCCCCAAGAATTGTAAGTCCACTCCCTTCCTATGCCCCGATTCTATTATATTCACCAGTTTTTTCTGTTCATGAGATTATTTATTCACTTGATTTTTAGATTCACTTGTTGATAGATATGTATTTGTTGTTCATAATTTTTATCTTTACCTTTTTCTTCTTCTTCCTCTTCTTAAAGGATACCTTTCAGCATTTCATATAATACTGGTTTGGTGGTGATGAATTCCTTTAGCTCTTTATCTGACCTTCAATTCTGAATGATAGCTTTGCTGGGTAAAGTAATCTTGGTTGTAGGTTCTTGCTATTCATTACTTTGAATATTTCTTGCCACTCGCTTCTGGCCTGCATAGTTTCTATTGAGAAATCAGCTGACAATCATATGGGTACTCCCTTGTAGGTAACTGACTGTCTTTCTCTTGCTGCTTTTAAGATTCTCTCTTTGTCTTTTGCTCTTGGCATTTTAATGATGATGTGTCTTGGTGTGGTCCTCTTTGGATTCCTTTTGTTTGGGGTTCTCTGTGCTTCCTGGACTTGTAAGTCTATTTCTTTCACCAGGTAGGGGAAGTTTTCTGTCATTATTTCTTCAAATAGGTTTTCAATATCTTACTCTCTCTCTTCTTCTGGCACCCCCATAATTTGGATGTTGGTATGCTTGAAGTTGTCCCAGAGGCTCCTTACACTATCTTCATATTTTTTGGATTCTTTTTTCTTTTTGCTTTTCCGGTTGGGTGTTTTTTGCTTCTTCGCATTTCAAATCTTTGACTTGATTCTTGTGATCCTCTAGTCTGCTGTTGGATCTCTGTATAATATTCTTTATTTCAGTCAGTGTATGCTTAATTTCTAGTTGGTCCTTTTTCATATCCTCGAGGGTCTCACTAGATTTATTGAGGATCTCCCTAAATTTATCGGTGGTTTCTAGAAAATTCTTGAAAAACCTTATAACTGTGGTTTTGAACTCTATATCCAGTAGTTTGCTTTCCTTCATTTCTGTTATTTGTGACCTGTTTCTTTGTCTCCACATTTTGGCTGCTTCCCTGTGTTGATAGAGTGGCTTTCTGTGCTAGGTGTGCTATAGGGCCCAGTGATTAAGCCTCCCAATTACCTGAGGTGGACACTCCTGGTGCACCCCTTTGTGGGCTTTGTGCACAGTCTAGTTGTAGTTAAGCCTTGATTGTTGTAGGTATCACTGGGAGGAATTTACCTCCAGGCCAATTGGCTGTGAGAATCAGCTGTGTCTGTGGTAGGAGAACTTCTGTGCCGGAGACACCTTTATGGGGAAAGACTTGCTTCAGTGGGGCTTTGGTGCTCACTGAGTCTGTGCCCTGAGTCTGTCCCTTATGGATCTGAGGAGTTGTAATCTGGATGGTCCCACTCTGACCATTGGGTACACTGGCTCTTGGATCTCTAAGGAGGTGCTAATTTAGCCTCTGCCTGAGGCTACCCAGCAGGAGCTACGGAGAGATCTGCAGATTCCTCTTTTTTGTTTGGGGTTTGGAGGTGCCCAGATGAGGTCCGGCTGTGAAGCAATGCAAGCTGCTGTGGGGCCTTGGGCCTTCTTTTGGATGTTCTGGGTCTCTCTGACCCAGCTGCAGTTTGTTAGGTAATTTTAGATTGCAAAGGGCCAGGCTGTTCATATGCAAAACCTCTCCGCACAGCTTGGGTGGGGTGGGGTCTCAGGGAACCAACAGGATGGAGAAAACAGCTATGGCTGATCCTCAGCACTCCCCTAAGAGGCCCCGGGTCTCAGTGTCCGGCGGTAATCGCTGCAAGCACCTCTGAGAGAAAGCTGCCCTCGGGTTCCGCCCGATGCCAGAGAGTCCAGTTTCTCCCCGTATGTGTCTGGGTCCCCAGAGACTCACCTGGAACTTGAATTCAGAGCAGTCAGGAGCTTGAGACTCCCTCCCAATTGAAAAAGACAACCGCGTCCTCAGTTGCCAGCCCTTTCTGTGTGCACCTCCGTACCTCTGCACTTTACTTCCGCACCTCCTCTGAGTCTCAGTGTGCTTTTCTCTTTCCTTTTAGTTGTAGAATTTCCACTCAGCCAGCCTTCCTGTGGTTCTGGATGATGTCCGTTTTGTCTTTTAGTTGTATTTTTGAAGTGGTTGTGCAAGGCAGCAATTTCCAGTGTTTACCTATGCCGCCATCTTGGTTTCTCCCCCATGATTTATTTAATACTAGAGGCCCAAT